ATAAGCATACATACACGTACATAGACTTATTTTATTTCATCCAGAAGCTTCTCCTTTAAGTTAAGGGAATAAAGTACTGAAAAGATCTCGGACCAAGCTAACCACTTCCTGCACTGTTTTCAGCGATTTTGAAAGATTTTGAAAGATTTTGAGAGATTTTGAGAGATTTTGAAAGATTTTGAGGGATTTTGAAAGATTTTGAGAGATTTTGAAAGATTTTGAAAGATTTTAAAAGATTTTGGAAGATTTTAAAAGATTTTGGACGCCAAAATCTGCTTTTTCCCCCTTGTCTTAATCACATACGTCCGTTGGATATTAATTAACGAATAAACGGTTTAGATTGGTCTTTAATTGGTATTAGTATGGTTGGAAAAAAACGATTGATAAATATAGAATGGTCATTAATATTGGTTATTGCAAATGAAATTCCAGGTGATTTCATTGAATGTGGTGTTTGGAGAAGTGGAAGTTCAATATTTGTCCGTGCTGTATTCAAAGCATTGAATATTAATGATAGACATGTTTGGTTAACTGATTCATTTCACGATTTACCAAAAGCGAAAACAAACAATGATAATGATCATTGGTCAAAAAAAGAATATTTAAAGGTATTTATTTGATTTTGCGAACAAAATGAAAAATTATCGTTAGTTTTTATTTAGGTTTCACTTGAAGAAGTTGAAGAAAATTTTCGTTCATTTAATTTACTTGATAATCAAGTGCATTTTTGTAAAGGATATTTTATTGATTCACTTTCTCGGTGTAATGTTTCTAATATAGCTGTTCTTCGAATGGATGGTGATATGTATGGATCAACTATGGATTAATTATTTAATTTATATTCAAAGGTACAACTTGGTAGTGTTATTATTGTTGATGATTATATACTTTCAGAATGTAATAGGGCTGTACATGATTTTCGTCGTTGGTATCAGATAACGGAGGAGATTCGACTCATCTTTGGTGGTCAACCAGGCCATTATTGGATAAAGAAAAAACATATTGAAGTACAAATGGATCGATACCAACCATTACTGATCTCTACAACTAAATATACTCAATAATAATTGAAACTAATTTTATTTTCTCACTTGAAGTTTTATGAATATTCAGCACTGAAAAATATCAACTCCTCAATTACTAGGAGAATTATGAAGTTTCTACAAGAGAGCAATAAAGAAATATAATGTTACATATTGAGTGACCCCTAATAGATAGTTATTTTTCGTTGTCTATCTTTGGAACAGTTTAAAATATGATCCCAAGCTCATTCAGTAGAAGCTTTATTTATCTGCAAAACACTTGATTTTGCTTTCAAAAAAACTGTTTTCTTATCGATATCAAACGCAACAGATCAACATTCATTTAGTCATCCATCTGCGACAGTCGCAAAAAAGGGGTATAAGTGTTTGTATGTAGCGATGAATGTGACTGTGTCTGTGGATGCAGCTTTTATGTTTACCAACACCCTCATCCTTCTAAATTTGTTACATCTTTTTATTTTAGCCAAGAAAAAGCAAAAATCATTCTCGAAAAATTTAATTTCGCAAAAGTCAATATGTGAAAATGTCCTTTGTCACCGCTTTAATGGTGTGTTTCACTATATCCACCAAAAACACTTGCAGGTCCAATGGAAAGGACTTTGAATGTCCCTTTAGCATTGGGTAAGAAAGTAGTTACTATAAGAATGTATTTCACTCCAGATCGAAGAATAAATGTCAGTTTGAATTGTAGACCGCCAGCACTATCGTCATCCAGTGCGACTTGATTAAGAGACAATTTGTATTTATCAAAACTAGTAATGTATAAGTAGCCAAACATATCAATAGTGCTGTTGCTTGTAAAAGTGTAGTTGCCTGTTGTATACACAAGAATATTAATTGCTTGATAGTAGTAAGAGTTAGTATTCCCAGTTCGATAAAATCGATCACTATGTTCAGTCAACGTACTTGAGTAAGTTGAGTTTACAATATTTGATCCTATAATGATATGGAAAGCATTAAGAGAAGTATATTTCAATGAGGTACTCGAAATATTTTTCATCTCTCATTGTCGGACTTGAGAGACGTGTCAATGATGGTAATTACTCTGAGTGGACATGAACATATATTCGTGTGTTTGATTTCTCATGCTTCAGTGTAAAAATCGAAGGAATGTTTTTTTTTCTCGATGCAACATTATATTTCTTTTACAAGGCGAATGAGTCATGGATCCAAGAATTTTCCAGTTAAAAGTGTTATCTACACGAAAGTTGTTTAGAAAAATAGTTTCTGCAACAACGTTTCTGAAATTACAGTCTTAATTAGCGATAAATGTAGTGCAGTTTGACAAAATGATGAAGACATTCTCAAAACTCTTACTAATAACAGATTCCCAATAATAATGCATATGATGTTTAACAAAGATTCTAACCATTGAATATACACGAAGTACTAGAATCGGCGAATGCATACCTGTTTTTGTACGCTCAAGTAAGTAGTACTTTCCGTCAAATAAATTTTTCTCTTTCGGACTATCTATATAGAGTTAGATTTTGGTTGAAGTGATTTATTAGTTATTAAGTACTGTTTATTTCTAACATTCTAAATCACAATGACAGGCTTTGTCTTCATTGATTTGGAAGGAAAGCTTCTTCTTATTTAAAATTCTCACATGCATGCAAAAGACAATGAAAGTGTTTTGTAGAGTAATTTGTTGGATAGAAATCACAGTGAGGATACAAGAATGCAAAAAAAAGGAAGGGAAACAACTATTGAAAATAAGTTTTTATTTAATTCAGAATATCGTGCAATACAGACGAAAATGTTTATTATCTCTTTTCGACCTCTATAAAATCGGTATGTTATAAATTCGAACTAACCTACTAATTTCTGTCATAGCACTATATTTTCTTGACGATGTGGCCTATATTCGTTACACCAAAAGTGTTTAAATCAAATACTCCTAATACATCTATGTCTTTGTTCTATTCAAATTTTGTTCTATCAAACATTAATTTCATGATGTAACGAGGAAATGCATGCTTCGTTGCTATTTAATCCTTTTACATTTTTGACATCATTGCGATCTGTGTCTCACGAGCATAAATCATGCACATCTTAACTGAATAAAAATGAAGTCATTTTCTTTATTATTCGACCATCAAGAGGTAGCATAAGGAACTGTCTCTTTGTTTTTTCCGGATCGACGTGAGAAACTTATCGGAGATTAAGGATTTCTACCAAATGAATGGGTAAAAAACTTGTCAGCATGATTTAGAATGCTTGTTGTAAAAAGTGCTTAACAAAAAAAAAAATAATTTCAACTACAATTCAAACTGAAGCAGATGATGTGGAAGAGCAAAATTTTTCCTAGAAAAATCGCTGTATCTCATAAATGTCAAACTTGGAGGTTGAATTGAAACTTGAAGTTCGAAAAAAAAAACTTGAAGAGTTGTTGTTGAATTGAATTCTCGTTTCAAGTTTGACACTACTACTATACCTGAAGAGGTCAGACTCCTAGAACTCATGTGAACGAATTTCTTTGTGGTATCATTCAAAGATGTTATTTTAACAACCAAACTGAACTCTAAAAATTTACGAAAAATAGAATGAGATATCTGAACGAATACACTCTGTCTTAGCAAATAACTGCTGCCCGCCATTATCGATTTCGATCCTCACAATCTGCAAAGAACAAATCGGAGCATCAAATAGGCTTCGAAACTATGCGGAGAAGATGAAAATCTAGCATGATTTGTGAAACTAATAATTATGCTTTGTTACGCAAAGAAGAGTACCCCTATATTTGACGGCACGAACAACCCACTTAAGTGTACCAAAAAGAGTACGTATTCTCCAATTCGAGCAGTCCATATATATTTAATCATTTCATCGATATCCCATCGTACAATCATTATCTTTCATCACTCTCGTTTATTTTTGTGGTTGTGTTATAATTCAGTTAACGAGCTCTGCGGAAATTGAGGGTACAACGGGTATTTAAAAGATTCGTTTAGTAGATCGTTCGAGATATGGCCAGACTACAATGCAAATATCTTAGAAAAACAAGGTTTTTCATCATTTCAGAAAGTTTTTGTCAGTAAATATAGGTAGTTAATATTCGTTTGAACATAACAGAGACGTTTATTGCCGGTAGAATAGTTCTTCAACGGATATATCTAAAGATATGCATCTGTCGTATTTCAAGTGACAAATACAGGTAACTTATTTTTTGGTAGAAAACGTTGGATTTGGATACTCATAAGCACCACGTGAGCTTTTTCTGATCATTTTCTATTAGATAGAACGAAGAATCTTCTGCATATTTATTTATTCAAAATAATTTCATAATCTAATTTCAGATTGGGGTTTTTCGAAAACGTAGATCTCGAAAAAACTAGACTTTATTGTGACGGATTCATCAATTATACACTCGTCACTATCATTGGTTGCTCTCTGCATCATCTAATTCTTCTCTCTATTGTTCTCTCTCTTGCTCTCTTATATGTACACGTATAAATACTTGTGTTCATGTATCGTTCATCAGTCATTCTTGACTCAACTTTCTCTCCTTCCATCTGCTTTCTCTATTGTGTTGTATTTCTTCCATAAATATATGAAAGAATAAATCACAAACAACAATTAACCGTTACATTTATGTCAAAGAACCACCTTCGATGTATTAATTTTGGCATCTCATACATTCCAGACTGCAAAATATAAGGAATTATCCATCTCTGTCTATTCTGGACAACATGTAAGTTCAACAATACAAATTGATACTGTTAGTGTATTGTTCCGCTGGTTGTCTCCATGTGAGCGGTCATGAGACATCAAGTTTTTAAGTTTCCTGGTTGAATTCGCATGGTGTCCAGGACAAATAGATATACGTAATTTATCATGGTCTGCAATTTGGAAGGTATGAGAAGCAAAACTGAGCATTTTCAAGGTGGATATTTGGCCAACAACTGTTTTTTTCTGAAGCTTAGACTTTAGGATACCTCTAGTCCCAAATCAGAGCGTTGAATTGTTTTGACTAAATAGGTTTGTAGAGACTTTGTATTTCTATCTAATCGACGTCGACGAGAAAAAGTTTAGATGGTTTTTGGCAGCTTCAAGAGCCAGTGTTTCCCTAAAATTTCTAGAACTTCTATGAATATCAAACATCATAATCTATCTTCTTTCAAAAATTAATTTCTCCATCTTCGTTACCTAAATGTAAAGGTCGTTAAGGCAATCCTTGTAGAATTAAAATGTGAAATGTGATGCACCTATCGTTGCATATTATATGAGAATAGTTTTTCGATCCATTATGGAACAAGTTTCTTTCTCATAGTCTTTTAAATATTCTAGAACTACAGTAAGGAAGTAGCTCATATATTCATATGACGTTGTAGTGGCATACAGTCTGTGTAGGTCTTTGAGGGCTGCCTGTCATAGTCTGTAAAAGCAAAAGAGACATCTATCATCCTCTGTAATGAGAGTGCCTATCAGGCTCTGTGATCGGCACATCAAAGATGCAAACTTCTACCCTATATATTTAAACACTCCTTTTAGATCATGTTCTACATAAGTAGTGGCCAATGTTTGGATACACTCACTTCCAAGTTATACCACTTATACTGACCGTCTCTTTTTTTTGAAATAGATAATAGAACTTTTTTTTTGAGAAAAGAATGTATCCGTAATCATCTTTTATCATATTACAAGATCTAATAGATAAATTTACTGAAATTACAGTCTGAATCATAAGCAACGGAGTTGTGGATGATCATTTAAAGAAGTAATTCTCAAGATACTCAGCTATAGAAAGTTTAGAACATATCAGGAGATTGTTTAGAAAGAAAGCATTTCTTAAATGCCCTGTATTCAGCTCGTCACAAATCTACATTCTATAAATGATTAGTTTCCTTACTGGTTGGACTGATTGGAGTTGTGGTTGTTGTTGTTGTTGTTCGGCTGGTTGTCGTTGTTCGGCTAGTTGTTGTACTTTGACTAGTTGTCGTTGTGTGACTGGTTGTTGTTCTTCGGCTAGTTGTTGTACTTTGGCTAGTTGTCGTTGTTTGGGTGGTTGTTGTTGTTTGACTAGTTGTCGTTGTGTGACTGGTTGTTGTTGTTCGGCTAGGTGTTGTCATTTGGCTGGTTGGTGTTGTTTGGCTGACTGTTGTGACTGTTATGGGCGAAGTTTCTGTGCCATTAGTGTTTACATAAAAATCTACGCTAGCTGGGCCACTCACAGTTATTGAGAACGGTCCAAGGACATACGGATTAAACGTCGTTACTATAAGAATGTATTTCACTCCAGCCTGAAGATTATATACCAGTTTAAACTGTAAATTGCCACCTCTATCGTCATTTTTTGCGAGTTGATTAACAGACAATCTGTTTTTATCAAAGCTATTATTGTATAAGTAGCCAACCATATCAATAGTACTGTTACTTGTAAAAGTGTAATTGCCCGTGGTATACACAAGAATATTAATTGCTTGATAGTAGTAAGAGTTAACCTTCCCAATGCGAGGAAATTTATCACTGCGATCAGTCAATGCACTTGAGTAAGTTGATTTTACAATACTCGGCCCTAAAATGACATGAAAAGCATCAAGAGGAATAAATTTCAATGAGGTACTCGAAATATTTTCCATCTCTCATTGTCAGGCTTGAGACTAATGTCAAAGAGGGTGGGTGCGGGCGAATCTTCTGTTTCTTCTCAAACCCACACCCACACCCAACCTGATGTATTATTTCGTGTTTTATAGCAATACATGATATCAGTAAATAGTTGTGAAGTCGTCATTGATCGGTACATTTCAGTAGTGGACAACTTTATTTTTGGACATATACCATTGTCTTAATCTTCTCCGAGTGTACTCTCTAATTGATATGGCTATACTAGATCATGTATTTTCTTTTGAATCGAAAATCACTAAAACGACTAGTGTATGTATGAAATAGCGTTGAAATAATGGATTGAGCTATTAAATTACATCAAGGTTTTAAGTCAACTGATAATTGACACACTTGCTGCAATGAATGGATGGTATACAAACACTAGATTAAGAGTTCGACTCCGAGTAACAATAGTGTATGCGACTTACTTTACATGACTGTCGCAATTCACATTTTATTAGATTAGTAATTTATAAATCTTTATACCGCTTATTCACTGACTTATTTTTCGTTTTCTTCGAATGACAACTATCAGGATTATAAGATAACAAACTATTTATCCTATTTATATATTTGATGATCTTTAGAAGCATTAGCATTTCCATTAAGTTATGCTTAATTTCAAATGTTTAATGCTATACTACTTTTGGAAAAGTTTTTTAAGTGCAGCTCATATTAGGCTTTACTAGAAAATAGCACTATGATTATTGATTTAATTCTTTCTATAGGAAATGGATCAAGGTAGATGTATCTAGCATTAAATGGTCGACAACAGGCTACATAGATAAACTTTACATAGGATATCGATATATCTGCATCACAATGTTTTCTAAAGAAAAGGGATTTTTTTTTCTTATCAATCTGCGTAGTTTTCGTAGTTCACTTTGTTTTTATTTCGCTTATCTTTGTAGTCGTGATGATGTTTGTCTTCTTTGACTACAGTCTTTCAACAAAAGAAAATCCCTTTCTTTTTAGTAGTAGCGCCCCTAAAAATTATGCTACCCAGTACTACAACATCTCAAACATCCATGACT